CCTTTTGGTTGAGTTAACGTGTGGTTACTTCGTTGCTGAATTAGTACTAACTAACAAAGTTCCAATTAGCCTTTTTTGTTGAGTTAACAACGTTTCTAGACTAGTACTAATTACGAACCCAAGTGTGTGATTAACTATGTTGACTTTGTTACAGCATTGCAAGCACCTACTTAACATTGTGTAAATGTTCAAACGATCACCTAACTGATTCACATACGCTTGATTAATGTGTATTCTCTGCCTATACAAACTATGACAGAACATTCTGTCACAGCCCCTGGTTTGTTGTCCTCTTTTCTCCCTCTCTGTTGCCTAGGTTTTTTTTTGAGGCCTCTGCTGGTCGCTGCGCCTTTGGTTCCACTCTGGAGATAGATCAGTGGTTCCACTCTGGAGATTCTGGAGATAGATCAGACGCTTATCGAGCACAAATGCGGGTACTGCCTGCAGCAAGCAGTTTCGGAGTTTGGGCGCCCACTTCATGTCCTAACCTTGAGTGTGTGACGGACTAACTAAAGTCCATCGATTTAGGCTCCTTCCCGTCTGCTGATTCACTGAGTTGCTACTACGAACCATCTGTGACTGTGTCCCATTCGACCTGAATGGTTCACCAGTTCCACCAAATGCTCTCATCCCAAAATGAGATTCTAACTATAAAGTTGGAGGAGAGCGCAAATTGCTCTTCAGGTGCTGTTGCCTCTCTTCGAGCCTTGGCATGTGCGCTCTTATTCAATGCAATACAATACATTGGAAAATGCTCTCTTTCCTGACCGAACACGTCTAGTTCCTACTCCTACTCGCACCTCACGTCCATGCGCCCGTTCAATTGTCTCTTAGACATGGTTGGGGGTTGACCAAAGGGTTGGTCCTTCGGACTCCTTCCCAGTGTCCCCCTTTCAAAACAGGTGGTGGTCCCCATCTTGAGTTCGTCAAATCGTGCGTAGGCTAGGTTGGTCCTTCCCAGTGTCCCCCTTTCAAGAGAGGCAGTGGTCGCCATCTAGTCCCTATCTGGTCCCCATCTTGAGTTTGTCAATTTGTGTGTTTCTAGCCTACGGCTGACAGGACTGTTCTCTTCAACCATTTAGGGCCTCGCCACACTTCTCCCGGAAATGGGGAGTGCAGCATTCCTGGATTCAATGTGTCAGATTGAATTCTGGAGCTGTTAGAATGCACAGCCTAAGAGCACTCCCGAAATCCCCTTGGCCTCCCAGCCTGCAAATTTGTTTTTCCAAGAGACCTTCCACGCTCCGTGTTCCTTCAAAGATTCGGGAGGACTGGAGACGGGACAATAGACATCGGTCAGAATATGTCACACTGAACTTGTCTCAAAGTCTGAAGGCGTCACCCGCGATTTTAGCAGGATTTGGAGAGCATTTGGTCTGTCACAGTGGCGAAAGGCACACTGAACTTGTCCGGAAACGGCCGGCTCGATTTCAAGACTTCGAGAGCATCCTGTGCGAGAGTGCAGTGTGGCGAAAGGCACATTGAAATCTCCAACCGGTGTGTGGCTAAAGGCACACTGAACTTGTCCCAAAGTGTCCTCCTTGATTCAGGACTTGGAGAGCATCCTGTGCGAGTGCAGTGTGGTGAATCACTTTCGACTTGTCTTGAAGCGATTTCAGGACTTGGGAGCATACGACTCGGATTCGAGAGTGCACAGTGGCAAAAGGCACTCCTGAACGGGTTTTTATGTCACTGAGCACTCCTGGGATTTTTCATCATCCCGGGAGTGGTGGGGTGGGAAGGCTCATGTTGTCACACAGTGAAAGTCTACTAGTTCTTATGGGATTACACGTGTCCCATGTCTCCCTCTCTGCCTAATGCTTCGTGGGCCTGTCATCTGCAACAATATACATATGCATATATATCGTCATAGCCTTTATATATATATATATTGAAAGGCCTTCCACGATTCAGACCCCAAACTCGGATCTCAGGGTCAGATGCCCTGGTCAAGAAAAGGCCACGTTCGTCAAACTCAGAAAAGTCACAGTCGGGTGTACCTCAGCAGTCTGGTCCAACAGGCACCCAGCAAACAGTCACATCTCAGGGACAAGAGCCTTTTTGAGGAGTCACATCCCACAAGAGAAAAGGGCAGTTCCACAGGCAAAAGTCATGTTCCAGAGGCAGGAGTCACAGTCCGCAGTCAAAAGTCATGTTCACAAATGAAAAGTCATGACGCAAAGACCCAAGCAGCAGCAGACCAAAGGAAATTCGGGAAGGTTCCAGGCTATGTGGCACCCGCAGCCTAGGCTGTGGGCATTTCGGCCGCGGCCGCGGCTGATGAGGCCGCGGCCAATGAGGCCCAGTCCGCGGCCTGTTTTTTCAATATCCTCCCCCCCCCCCACGTAAAAAAAAAATAAAAAAATATGGGGGTGTAGGGCTTGGAAAACCCTACACTCCTATATTGTTTTTTTTGGAATCCGACTTTGTTTAAGATTTTTAAAAAATCAAAAACTAAAATCGGTTTAAACAAAAAAAAAAACAAAATATATTTCTTCTCCCTCTCTGCCTACGGTTTACCGGGCAGTTCTATTTGACAATATATATATATAAAGAAAAGCAGGAATTTTTTTTTGTCATTTTTCATCATGAGATATATGGTCCCCGACTCGGAGTCAACCTGTGTTTTCTTTTTAAATGAATTTCTGTTTTTTGAAGGGAAATGAGGTGTTTAAAAAAAAATGCAGATGCAAAATTTGAAAACAAATAAACAAAAAAAGGGTTTGATTGATTGATTGATTGATTGATCTGATTTGATTGATTGATTGTGTGTGTGTGTGTGTGTGTGTGTGTGTGTGTGTGTGTGTGTGTGTGTGTGTGTGCAATCAGACTCGCTCTCTTCCACACTTTACATGCATGCAAACAGGTGCACAGCAAACTGGCGACATGCGCCCACTCAGACCTCAGAGATATGGTACCGAGAACACAGTTCAGATTGAAGTTCACTTCGAATGGCTATGTGTGTGTGTGTGTGTGTGTGTGTGTGTGTGTGTGTGTG